CCCCATATCGAACGATACCGAGTTCTCGAATCTAGGGTTTTGGAGGGGAGAAGAAGGGGAAGGAGCGGGGGTGGAGGAGCTTTTGGCTATTGAAGCGAGGGAAGCATGCTGAGCGTGCTTAGGGTTCATTTGCCGTCCGAGATCCCCATCGTTGGCTGCGAGATCACGCCGTATGTGCTCTTGAAGCGGCCGGATAATTCGATCTCGAATGAGGACGTCCCTGAATCAACCCCGATCGGGGGCTATTGCATGAGATATAAGTGGTGAGTGCTTCCTGATCACAATTCCTTCGTTTAGATACTGCAAAGATTCGTTTTTTTTATTTGTCGTTTGTCTCTTGTCATTTAAAGATCTGAAGTCAAGATCTACACCTCTAGTAGAATCACTTCTTTACTGAATACTTCTATAATTATTTTTTTATTCTATTGCATGTGGGTTAATGGCATTTTTGAAGCTTAATTACAAATGGTTGCTGCTATGCAAATCATTTTAATGCATCTAGAAATCAAATAAAACAATGAAGTATGCCATTCAAAACCCAAATCTAATTAAACAGTAAAATACGTCATGAAAGTCCTAACTCCTAATCAAGTTGGGGTAAAACAATCTTAATGATCTATAAAACCCGCAAAAACACTAGCTAATCCGTACAGATCCTTTTTCATTCCAGAGAATAACAAGAAAAAAGGAGAGGGGGGCATCAAATTTAATTTGGGGCATGATTTTGCCCTAATACATGACCCAGAGACATTTAAGAATAGGGTCACTGTAGCCTTTAATTTGGGTTGTATTTAACCTGGAAACTTAAGTTTAAAAAATTCTACACAAATCAACTGACTCTTATACGCTGATCTATCGACCACTATATCCGATATATCCCGATATGTGGCCTATATTTCCCCTCAAACAATATTTGGTTTGTAATTACAAATATTCCTGCAGCTACTCCACTAATTTGATATGTCGACTGACATGTCCAACATGTCGGCCACTTCTTGTTACACTGAGGGTTAGTAACCACCCTTGTCTGTTATGGCTTAATACTGTATACTAGGTAAATATATATTGGCAAATTATTGCAAAGTTGTTATCGATTGCAGCGGAAGGGGTTTTTGTTGGGGATATGAAGATATTTTGACACTTGTCAAAGGGAGACCTTTCCGGCAAATTGTCTTTAGATGTTCTTGGCTGCCACATAGCTATCTGCAAATTTCAAGTTATTTGTAGCAATTAAGTGATTTGAGTTTTGCAATTTAACTGATATTTTGCAGTCTGGCATCGCCTGTGTACATGTATATTGGTATTGTTTATCTATCAATTATTGATTATTGACTTCTACAACGGGAAGGAAGTTTCACTTTGTGTCTTTCAATTTTGTATCAACTCTAAATGTGTTTTGGCAAATATCTTCACATTTTACTTATCTGTTTGCAGGTACCGTGTACACAATGACCGTAAAGTGGCTGTCTGCAGTGTGCATCCAACTGAACAAGCAACGTTGCAGTGTGTTGGTTGCGTGAAGATGAAAATACCAGTTGCCAAGAGTTTTCACTGCTCATCAAGGTGCTTCGCTGATGCGTGGCAGCATCATCGCGTTTTACATGAGAGAGCCCTTAGCACTTTAAATGAAAATGGAAATGAAGAAGAAGAGTTATATGGTCGCCTTAATAGTAGTGGATCTGGAATTGTCAATGCTGGGCTTTCTAGTTCAACAACAGGTGTAGGACAGAACCCAAGTTTGAACAATATTTCCACACCTTTATATCCTGCAACTATTACAGAGCGGAGTGGAGGTGAAACCTGGTCTGAAGTTGGGCGCTCTAGAACATATACCCCAACTGCTGAAGATATTGGTCATGTGCTCAAGTTTGAATGTGTACCTATAGATGCAGAAACAAAGATTCCTCTTGGAACACCAAGTACTTTTTTGACCTCACGTGTTATTCCAGCTCCGTCACCCACTCCACGCCGTATGATTCCTGTAAATGGACTTGATATTCATGGGCAGCTGAATCTTGATGGTCGAACTTCATTGTCTGGAACATTCACTGTGCTATCATATAACATTCTTTCTGATGCATATGCGACAAGTGAGTCATACAGCTATTGCCCATCTTGGGCCCTTTCTTGGACTTACCGGAGGCAAAATTTGTTGAGAGAAATTATCGGCTATCATGCTGATATCCTTTGTCTTCAGGAGGTATGTTGCTGTCCGCATCGTTGCTCTTTTGTAATAGAAAGAAGCAATATTTACACAGACAAACACCATATATCTATATAAATGTATTTTTTCAATACATTCACATGAACACATGCAGAACCAGACCCTAAGAGTTCCAAAATTTGTTCGATTGGTGATTTCAGATATTACGTAGTTCTTTTAAGTTCTTTTAAGTTACTCGAGAGTTCAAGTCTAAACAGCCATTGATTTAATAACTGCTCTGAAATTGATTCTTCCATTTATGCATGTAAAACCTCATCAAATGATCATGAAGTTTGTTCTCCTCCTTTATTAACTTCCTCACATTGTAAGATGTCTAAAATGCTTTCTTAAGTTTAGAGCAAGTAAAGAAATTTTCTTTTTTATGTACCTTTGTAGACTGTAGTAAAGTCATTTGGTAGTCAAACTTATAAAGTTCTCCCCGACAGATATCATTAGTAGCATATTAAACAAAAAATAAATTTGGTGTTCTTGTTGGAGAAGATTGAGCCTTTTGAAGGTTGAACTTTCCAGTTTCCATGACTGAAGTTACCACTGTTATCTTGCAGGTTCAAAGTAATCATTTCGATGAGTTTTTTGCTCCAGAACTTGACAAGCATGGATATCAGGGACTTTACAAGAAGAAAACATCCGAGGTCAGATTTCCGATTTTCTCTTTCTTCACAATGCTATTCAGGGACTTTTGTAGTTAGATGACGTTGAAGTCAATTATTGTGGATGTTCAGGTTTATAATGGAAATCCAAATGCAGTTGATGGTTGTGCGACATTTTTCCGCAGGGACAAATTTTCACATGTCAAAAAATATGAGGTAGATAACACTTCTGTCACCAATAATCTTTTTCGCATCGTAACAGCTTACTGATGTGTTTATTTCAGGTTGAGTTCAATAAGGCTGCCCAGTCTTTGACTGAGGCTGTAATTGCAGCTGGTCAGAAGAAAGTTGCTCTGAGTAGATTGATCAAGGTTTTTGTTTTGGTTGATTCTTTGTTTCATGAATGTTGTGTAGTTGGAGGCTTATTATAGTTCATAATCTCACTGATATAACTATTCTCTTATTGTATAGGATAATATTGCTCTTATTGTGGTCCTTGAAGCAAAATTCAATAACCAGGGGCAGGGTACTGATACTCCTGGAAAGAGACAGCTCCTCTGTGTGGTGAGTCCCCTTTCTGTCCTCCCCCTCATGCTGTCCTTAAGTAATCACAGCTGTAGTGTTTTAGGGTACAACTATAATTTCATATCCTTATGTATGTTCTTTTACTGACTTCTACAATCCTACATAACTCTAGGAGACAAAAAAGAACACACTGAAGCTGTGAAAATTGGGGTATTGTTACGCATAAACTACTATGGGTTCGAGTAACCATTGACTATTGTTAATCTGAATGAAGAAGATGTTGTCTGTTCTATTAGCTCTAAAAGTAACACATACATTTTTCTATCGTCGATCTAGAATGGAGAAATACGTATACGAAATGTCATGTGTTGTTTGTTTTTGTTTGCCAAAATGTCTATACACTAGTTTGACTGTTTCTGACATGCGCAAAGAGGCCTAACTCATTAAAAAAGGCTTTCTTTGAATTCTATCCTTAAAATCTTCATTGAGCAGTGTATTTTAGAATTAAAATCATTATTAAAAGTTTGTATGCCTTACTGTTCACACTTCACTCTTTGTTAGAATCTCTCTTGGTCATTTCACGACTAATAGTATTTTTTCCACTGCAGGCAAATACACATGTCAATGTTCATCAAGATCACAAGGATGTAAAGCTCTGGCAGGTCTATGTTTTTTAATTTCTGTTCTCGCTGTTCTTATATGATTTGATGTCCTTCTCATCATCTTCAATTACTTATTGTTACAGGTGCATACTCTTTTGAAAGGGCTGGAGAAAATAGCTGTTAGTGCAGATATACCCATGTTGGTGTGTGGAGATTTTAATTCTGTTCCAGGGAGGTATGTACCATGTTTCTGATGAACACAAGTTTCTTCATAGGCACATATAGATATGTTTGCTTGCAGACGTGCCATATCCACTAGGGACTACTAATAAGAGTATTTGCTGGAATGCAGTGCTTCTCATACGCTGCTTGCAATGGGTAAGGTTGATCCAATGCATCCGGACTTGACTGTGGACCCCCTTAATATTTTACGCCCTTCAACAAAGCTAAACCACCAGCTCCCACTGGTAAACATTCTCTTCGGTTGTTTGACATAAATCTTTTCATTTTTTTCAAGTTATAATATGCATTTATTTTGCAGGTCAGCGCATACTCATCCGTCGCAAGAATGGTTGGGTTAGAGCAGAGAAGAAAGTTGGATCCATCAACAAATGAACCTTTGTTCACAAATTGTACCAGGGATTTCATTGGGACACTGGATTACATATTTTACACAGGTAAACTATTTTTCGTATCCCTTACTGCGCCTTGATGGTCTTTTGTGATTTAGGTTTTTTGCGCTTATATTTAAATATTCTTTCATCATTTTGCATTTCAGCGGACTCGTTGACAGTGGAATCACTGTTGGAACTCTTGGATGAGGAAAGCTTGCGCAAAGATACAGCACTTCCCTCTCCAGAGTGGTCCTCTGATCATGTAGCACTTTTAGCTGAATTCCGATGCAAACCTAGGGTCAGACGTTGATATTAGAGGTAAGTGGATTCTGTTCTAAGTTGATGTTTTCACTCTTCGCTTTGCTAGGCTGTACAACACTATTAGGTTGCAGATGTGAACAATTCATGTTTGACCTTAGCTAAGCTGATTTTAATTCTAATTAGGTTCCCTTTGGATACCATGGTGTTTTACTTGTTTCCATGGTGTTTTTGCCAAAAACAAAACACCATGTATTTGGAAACCATGGTGTTTTTTGAGTTAAATCATCCTCAAACCAAAAACACCATTTATTTCAAAACACCTTTTAGGCGTTTTAAGTTTGGTGTTTTGGTTTTGAGTTTGAGAAGATGTTTATATAATATCTAACAAAATATATTAAATGTAATTAATATATAGTTATTATCAACATACTTATTATATTATACTATACTATATTATAGTTAATCTAATATATTAGTAATATTTATTAAATAATATAAATATATAATAATTAAAATATCTTATATAACAATATAATAACATATTAAATACTAGTACTTAATATGTTGTTAATGTATTATATAATAATAAATAATAATAAAATATAAATAAACTAATAAAAATAATAAAAAATTATTGATGATAAATAATAATATAATAATGATATATAATATACATACAATATTATAATCACTAACTATAATATATTATATAATATTAAAATATTTGTAATATATGAATTTATTAATAATATAATAGTAATAACATAATATTAACATTATCAATAATATTATATTATATTTAATAATTGTATAATATTATATTATTAATAAAATAATATAATTTTAAAAATATTATTAATATATAACAATAACAAATTGATATACCAAAATAATCAAATATATAATTATTTAAAAATAATATGTTATAATTATAATATAATAATAATTATAAAATAATGTAACTCATTAAAGTATAATATAAAAATATTAATATATTATACACTAAATAATTTAATATATTATAAAGGAAAATAATTTTTAACACTAAAATAATTTATTGCTAACAAATGTTAATGTAAAAAATAATATGTTCATAATATAATAATTTACAAAGGAAAATAATTTTTAACACTAAAATAATTTATTGCTAACAAATGTTAATGTAAAAATAATATGTTCATAATATAATGATATTGATATATATCTTAAACTATTAAAGTATTATTAATAAATTCTAACATATTAGAAACTATAATATATTATATAACATTAAAATATTTGTATTTTGTAATATATGAATTTATTAATAATATAGTAGTAATAACATAATATTAACATTATTTATAATATTGTATTATTTTAATAATAGTATAATATTATATTAATAATAAAATAATATTATTTAAAAAATATTATATAATATATGACAATAACAAATTGATATACTAAAATAATTAAATACATAATTACTTGAAAATAATATGTAATAATAATATAATAATAATTATAAAATAATATAACTCATTAAAGTACAATATAATATTATAACACATTATACAATATTATATTGTATATATTTAATACTTATAATACTATAATAATGTAAACTAAATATTATAACATTTTATTTATAATATATTTTATTATAGTTAATGTATAATATATTAATAATATATTTAATACTAATGTTGTAATGAGTCAAACTAATGTTGAAAAAAAACATTCAACATGGTGTTTTGAAAACACTTTTAAGAGAAAAACATTTTTAAGAGAAAAACACAACACCATAGTGTTTTTTTACAAAAACACAACAAGGAAAACACCATGGTAAATCAAATTCTTTGTATGACATTATGCATGTGAAACTATTCGTATGTATGGAATCACAATATTTGAGAGATAGTTTTCTTTAAAAGAAGCACTGTATTATTTCTAAATCAAGAAAATTGATGTTTGCATTTGGGTATGAGCTGAGATGTGAAGAATTCAAATGTGGTTTTGTTTGAATTTGGTGGTATTATTTTATGGAATGTACTAAATATGGGATTGGTCGAGCATAATATATCAACATTGAGGGGAAGAAGAGATCCGAAAGATAATCAGAAATTATGTGGGTCATTATGGAATTAGAGGGGGTTATTAATTATATATGTGTACGTGTTTGTATTTGCGTGTATAGGTATGAGTTGAAACTTCATTTAGCAAAATGAATCAGAGGTAGGAAGGAATCACGAGGCTCACCTTCAATGTCACAAGTAGAGTCAATCTCACAATTAATCTTATCTTTTGGTAGCTCATTTAGTAAGATGATTTGCCACCACATCTTTTCCATATGTGATACAAGGTAGCAGCTCATTTAGCAAGGCTAGCCTATAATAGAGAGGACAAGATGGTCTTTTATCACGTCCCTCTTGATCAGGGGAGGTGGTACGTAATAGAGAATGACATTGTTCAAAAACACGCTCTACCCTGCCGAGTATTCATACCTGGCATCAAAACATGTTTGGTAGTTGAAACTTGCTCGATTATCCAGTCAAACCGCATAATTTGAGCGATTAAGAGTATGTGCTTGCATAATGAAATTATGTGGGCGCATGATATACCCAACCTGATATGCACTTAGTCTAAAACTATGTTACTTGGGTACTTCTATCATGAATACGTATTCGTACCCGACACGTATGTGCACCCAAATTTCAGGGACGCTTCTTGGATGTATGCATACATTTACTCAAACACGTGCTCAACTATATGATATATGTTTTAATTTAAAACACTTGTCAAACACTTATTGAACTTATATCCTACACTTCACAATGGTCATCCATTTCTTGAAACTCGTTAGACATAGGTCAGGTTCATTTTAGTCCATACCTAAGTTCAAAATTATGATTTTAAGGGGTTGTTTGAGTGTCTTAGTTCCAATACGAGTAGCTTTCAATTTTTAATAATCAACATAATAAAAGAAATAAAAAACATAATAGGGATTTTAATTCTAATAAGACATGAATTGAAAAATAATAATCAATATATATGTAGCCGTGTCCCTGTACCCTATATTCTACAATTTTGCTGTCTCCTGTACCCGTATTTGCATCTGTCCCGATATCCGTACCCGTTTTCATGTGACTTAGGTCTAAAGTCTCCCGATCACCGCCTCAAAAGATCCCAAAAATCATACATAACTTCAAAAGCCTAAACTTAGTTGGCGCCCTCGTGCAACATCCTCTCCACCACCACTAGTTACCACTGATCTCTACCTCGAACTGCTGCTGAGTGTAGACGCCGACAGCTGCTGTCTTTTGCAACCATTTCCTTGACCAATCTTTACGAGGATGATGAGGAAAACTAGACCAGGAGTTTTATTAGTATTTTTAAAGTATTATGACTATGGAAGGGTTTTTAGTATATGAACTTTAACTAGTTTTACTTTTAAGTGTATAACGACTTTGATTTGAATTGCTTGGGATATTATGTGTTAGTCTTTTCCTTGGAGTGTTTTTATATTTTTTAATGAATTATTATATTATTGTATATGAGAAATAATATATGTATTAAAAATTTCAAAAATGCATACTTCTGCATATTCCGATTAATTACCACATAATCTAATTAATAGCTACCTGATATCGCTCTGTATGCATAATGAACCGTGATTTAGAACCTTGAAGGGTGGCCCTCTAGCCAACAATTAAACTAGTAAATGCTAGGTTATCACCCATTAGTGACATCATAACAGTATTGCAAGTGTTTTGAGTATTGATCCATTTAAGAAATATTGTGTATCCATCGGTATAAGTTAGCATATTGATAATACCAATTACAACGGCTTTCTTAGGGAGACTGTTTTCTGCAATGAAAATAATAGAGGATCGTCTACAAATTCAAATGGGAGATTAGTGGATAAATGCCAGTTTAACTTACATTGAGAAGGATGTATTTAGTGGTATTTTGAATGAGACTATGATGCAATTATTTCAAAACATGAAGATACGTAGGGATTAATTGTAATTGTACTTAGTTAAACATATATTTTATGTATAATTGAAGGTCTTTTGAATATGAGAGCAAAATTAGTAATATCGTCTTTTTATATATATTTTGACACCACTATTATGAATTGTTGGCTCTACTACTGCTCTTGACAGCTCATGGCCAATATCCTATTTGTGCAAGAAATAGTGATCAAGCTAGTAATTTCGGAACATGTGGATCTCATATATCTCTAGGTTATTTTTTTCCTAAATATGGGGCATAGGAGTTTTGTTGGATGGAAATATTCCATATATAATATGGCAGATATCACGAATATGTTGGGGATACTTATTTACACATTGGACTTTGATATGAAAGGCATATACATATCATAGATGCCCTAAATGAAATTTAAGCATACAGAAACGTAAAATCATGTAAATGAGATATATTTATGTGGCAAAGAGGCTGACATACGTCAATAAGGAGTGGAGAGAGAGGCAGAAGGGAGATCGAGAAAGAGGAGAGGCTTATTGGTGTTGACATGCTGTCGAGGTGAACAAGGTAGAAAGCAAGGAGTGAAAAGACTTCAGTCTCAAGAAAGGTGAGGTGAAGCATTCAGTTTAATTGAGCTATATTTATCCTATTTTGAGATCTGTAGTGAATAATCAAATATTCCTTTTAAAACAAAAGTTAACCCTGACCCTATATGACACTATTTCTCGTCAGGTATGTCAGAAATTGTCCCAAATGTCCTTTGATATATCAAAAATAATTGCGATATATCGCAAATAATTTCCAAAAAATTATAAACATGTAAAACCTTTCTAGTTGCTTCAAGTCATATAAAATGGCATTCCGGTCAATAAGTCAGACGTCTTGTACTAGTTTCTACTTCATTGTACTTGAGATTTAATAGGAAGCAAAATCATGTTCTTAAGCCTAAAATAGGTGTTGTGTACCTCTTGTGCGTTTTGTCCTTGTTTCAGAAATGCTTTTAGCCTCTTTCAGTTTTGGAGTTGTAATATAGTTTGAAGAATTGCATACATAGAATTAAAAGGAATTTGCATATGTGGCGTAGTATCCAGTTTTCATCTTGTAATTTTGCCAGTTTCAGGTCCAGCCTATATTCAACAATTAAAATGGCCATCGTAGCTCCTGGAAGCTATTATTATTTTGACAAAGCAAACATCGTTTCTAATAATGAATATCTGTATATGTAATAATGTGTTTGTTTTCTGTAACAAAATAATTTGCTTAAAAAATACTCTTGGTGAGTTGTTTACTAATGTTCCCTTTAATTATGTCGCCATTGAGATATAAATCAGTATGAAACTTCCCCCCCTTTTTCTGGGGTGGGGGTGTGGCAATCCCACTGTATATATTTGGTTACTACTGTACAATGGTTATACTAGTTTGTTCTGCTGAGTATAATCTTTTTTTTTGCTGCAAATTTCTTGTTACTTGTAACTTGTAAGAAATGACATTTCTCCATCAACAAGCTTTCATGATTTCATCTTCTCATTGGAATTACTATTACAGCTTACCCTGTTGTTTTTTCTTGCTCATGCATTTTACCCTGCCCCATATTATTACCCAGCAACAACGACATCACAATTTCTGGTTCAATTCCGAGAAGATGGCTTTTTGTGTTGCTATTTAAGATATTGTAACCTATATACTTTGTATTGATAACCAAATCTTCATGTACCATCACGGTTCTCAAGGATCTCAACATTTCTTTGTATTTTGGTATATCTTCCTAACAAATCCTTAATGCTTCTCTGTAGGTCCTCCAATACACTTTTGATTTTTGTAAGACAAAATTTGGTGGATGAAAGAAAATTCCATCTGGTAAGGATCAGAAAGGTGATAGATCATGTACCTTGTACATGCTCTTTGTTTATGTTAACCCTTGGGGGTCTATTGATCTATTTGTAACATGTCAATGTCTTATAGAAGAATTATGAAATAAGATGTTTCTGAACGTTTGCCTCTCATTTTTTCCCCTTTTTCCACCATTTCGTCTTTTCTCATAAAAACGTCAAATCGGGAAATGTTTCACAAGTACAATAACTGAGCTGCTGCTTCACTTGCGTTTAATGGCGGAGATACAAAAGACCATCATCTTGTGGATATCTGATAACCACCAAAAACTTCTATAGTATATTTTGCGGAAAAGTAGAGTAGAAGGGCAGAGAGATTTTGTTGTAGCTACAGTTTGTATAAAGTACCTGCAGGGTTACTGGCATGATGGTGCTATGATAATCTTGCAAAAAGGCTGGCTAGTTCTTGTAAATTACTAGCTTATTAGATTTTTTCATAATGAGAAGAATGTTTACATTGTGAGTCCCATGGATCTTGCTGGTTTAGTAGCTGGAGAACAGGTAGAAATCTTGTTTCTGTATCAAATTGGCCCCTTAAATAGAGCTGGAATAGATTAACCGTTAAATATCTCTGTTTCTGAAATGAAGTGACTATTTTATTTATTTGCCTGTGTGGACAAAAGCGTAGCCGCCCGCCTGAACACATCTTTAGGTACACGTGCCTGGGGGTGTGTGTTGGCATCCAACATTTTCCCCCTCTGTTCATTTTGTTGTATCCATGATGAGTAATGCGAACGTGCAAACATGTTTTATAGTGAAGTGTGAAACATTGTTAAAATATTGTGACAAATTTAATTATGACGACCATGTTTGTCGAGAGAGAAGTAGCAACAGATAAGAGCTTCAAATTCTACACTGCAACTCTTCGGCCTGTGAATCCTGCAGGATTTGTGATACGTGGGTGTCACTGTTCGAAACTCTTCGACGATTGCCTCTGTAAGTCATCGTTGTAGATGTTGCTTGTCCACTGTTTATACTTGCCTTCAACTTTTCCTCCTCCCTCGATATCTATTTATTTATGATGAGATAGAGGAAGCATCGCCTACGGATGCGTCTTTTTCTCATTATAAGATGGATCTTAGACTTCAATTGAGAGACAGAGAGTAGATCCGAAGGAAGAGTGCGGATTCTGGAAACCATAAAGTCAATTGGGTAGCTGTCTCTTGACTTGCAATTTGCGAAGGTCCATGTGATTCTTAACCCCACAACTCCTCCAAGATAAGTTCGGTGTAGCGGAAGCAGAACTGAGGGTGTGCCTCATTAAATTCCGACGCATTAACGTCATATTCATGTCTACTAACTGTATTCTACGTCCGTCCTTTCGATCCGGATACATTGTATGCTATGGCCTCCACTCCTGTAACGTGTCTGATCTATTGTCATCCATTGGCCTCGTCGAAACCTCGGGTGATTTTTTGTACCGAGTGTCGTCTGTAATGATATTATCCGTATCCTTCGAATTTTCCGTTTGTTCTACGATTTGGATGATGGGCGGCATCTATTCCTCTATAATAAGGGGAGGATCCAAGATTCACTATTTATGCTACATTAAATATTGCGGTGAATACTTAGTATTGTTACTGATGCACAAACATGAGGATCTGAGATTCACTATTCATGCTATAATAAAAATACTGCAGAACAGGATGAAGTCGTAACGCGTAAAACAGTACTGTAGTTCAGACGGCATACCGTAGCATCAAAAAGTTACCGTATTACTTATAAAAAACTGTATTTAAATACAGAATTACTGTAACGGAAATAAAAAAAATGGAGACAACGCTTTGCACGGGGTGCACACTAGTTTTCAGTAACGCTGCAATTGACTGCCTACCTAATCAAGAATGCGATATGCCTTATCGAGCTAGGTGTATGGTTGGCAAGTTGAATACGACATTACTCTCTGTGGCGTTGATGTATGCATCTCAACAACTTTTTGTTGGTGTATTAGCAATAAATAGCTCGTTTATTTTGTGCGGCATACCATCGGGACGGTTGAGCTCGGTCTTAAACAAAAGTGGTCTTAAACAAAGACTTAATTAAGGCTAATAAATAGAGAAGTCATGCTTTTATGTCAGTCTCCATCCCTCCCAAATTGGGATAAGAACGGACGTTGACGATGGGCTCGACCCATGGACTCGAACTTCGGACCTCTATCAAAGCTGCGTGTTGACGAGAGAGATGCTCGTTTGACGACCCCATGTATGATTTCTTCTCCAAATGCAATATATAACAAATTAATTTGATTCCTCAAAACACTTTATTTGGTGGTATTTTTGCACAACTTGAAGTTAACACAAAATTTAAATGGACCACCCTTTGCGAGTTAGTTACCAGCTGTTGATAACGACACAAGATGGCAAGCAAACCAAACCCAGTAAAAAAAAAAAACAAAAAAAAACAAAATAAATCTCTGGGCCAAAAATTTAGGGGGATGATCAATTGTCCAACTACAAATAGCTAATCCCATCCCAGCTGCCACCTTAATATTGTGGGGTCGGCTGTCCCCAACATACCCCACATCAATCCTAACCCCATCCATATCGCTAGGTATTGTCATCGGATTCGGATCCTCTTCATTACAAAAAAATAGCGGATGGACCACTGCATAATCACAGCCATTGATTATCTAGTTGATGGTTGTGATTTTTTCTCTTAGTGCAAATTAATTAGGAATGTGTGCAATACACGGGGGGTATGGTAAGTGTTAGATTTAGATTGTATCATAACCGCCTACTAAATAACCAACGATTGAGATTAAAAGTAGTGATCTTTCCGCTATATTTTTTTTGTAGTGGAGAGGATCCAAATCCCTCATCATCATGATTATTATTATTTTTGTTAGATCTACATCATAAAACTTGAGATCTAAAACCATATAGCCATGATTAATTCAAAGAGATTAACAAAAATCTAAAAGAGCGGAAGCTTATACCTGAATCCATTGCTTGATCTTGATTTTGGGTTTTGGATCTTCTAACCTTAGGGTTTTCTCTTTAGCCGAATTTCTCTCTTAGATGGGGGTGAAGAGAATTAGAGAATGTAGTAACCCTAGATTAGGGACCATAACCCCTTATTTATAGATGTTGTACTTTTGTAATTTAGCCCCTCAATAAATCACAATTACAACCTGGTATCTGCACATATAACCCCATGATTATATTTAAATACCCATTAACCCAACTTAATTGATCACTTTAGTGGGTTATCCTGAAAGATAGCAATACACATTGATTAATCATATGTGCCCACAAATAGATTTATTAGATTAAATCCAACAATCTCCCACTTGGGCACCATATGATTCCTTAAATTGTGTATAACCTTATGAGCTCAAAAATTGCTATCACTGAAAAGGTATTTCCGAACAATCTCGTCCATTGACTATATCAATATAGGATCAAAGCGGCCTTCGTCACATTAATCGTGACTCGACCCATCAATGGTCACATATACCAATACAATCAAATGACATAGATCAATCATGGATGTGCAGCATGAAAATTACATGCAATGTGATCAGTACATGTCTATTTTCAACTGGTCCTCCTTAGTGAGGTCAAAACCAAACATAATGTAACAGAGTGTCTTAACTGAAAACTTTATTCTGATCAGACAATACAAACAAACATAAAGCACCACAAATACAAACTCCCACTAAAACATAATATCCTCAAATAATACCACACCCATATGAGCAGTATGCTCATGAAAGACCTTAGGTGGCAATCCCTTAGTAAGAGGATCAGCTATCATGGAGTTTGTCCCAATGTGCTCTATGGATATCTGTCCACTCTGTACCCTTTCTTTCACAACCAGGAACTTAATGTCAATATGTTTTGACTTAGTTGAGCTCCTGTTGTTATTGGAATACATTACTGCAGATTTATTGTCACAATATAACCTTAGTGGTCTTTCAACATTTTCCAAAATGCGCAGTCCCGTGACAAAATTTCGCAGCCATATTCCCTGATTGGATGCCTCATAGCAAGCTACAAATTCTGCTGCCATAGTGGAGGAAGCTACTAGTGTTTGTTTGACACTTTTCCATGATATAGCTCCTCCTGCTAACATATAAATGTAGCCTGATGTAGACTTCCTGCTATCTTGGCATCCAGCAAAATCAGAGTCCGAATACCCAATGACCTCTAATTTCTCTGATTTTCTGTATGTGAGCATGTAATCTTTTGTTTTCTGAAGATACCTCATAACCCTTTTGACTGCTATCCAATGATCCATACCAGGGTTGCTTAAGTATCTGCCTAACATCCCAACAATGTACGCAATATCCGGACGCGTACATACCTGAGCATACATTAGACTTCCTACAGCCGAAGCATAAGGAATCTTCTGCATTTCCTGAATTTCAAGGTTACCTTTAGGGCACTGATTGAGACTAAACTTGTCTCCTTTAGCAACAGGGGTGTCACCTGGTCTGCAATCTTGCATGCCAAACCTTTTAAGTACCTTATCGATATAGCTCTTTTGTGATAATCCAAGAATACCCCGAGAGCGATCTCGATGTATCTGGATCCCTAATATAAAAGAGGCGTCCCCAAGATCTTTCATCTCAAAATTCTTTGATAGAAATCTCTTGGTTTCGTGCAACATGCCTATATCATTAGTGGCAAGCAAGATGTCATCCACATACAGAACCAGAAAAATATACTTACTCCCACTGAACTTGTGATATACACAGTCATCAACAATGTTCATCTCAAAACCGAACGAGATAACTATTTGTTGAAACTTATGATACCATTGACGAGGAGCTTGCTTGAGTCCATAGATGGATTTCCTTAATTTGCAAACCATATTCTTTGGGTCTCCTGACACAAAGTTTTCTGGTTGCACCATATAAATCATCTCATCAATGTCTCCATTGAGAAATGCAGTCTTAACATCCATCTGATGTAACTCAAGATCATAATGAGCAACAAGTGCCATGATTATTCTGAAAGAGTCTTTCGATGAAACCGGAGAGAAAGTCTCTGTATAATCAATGCCTTCCTTTTGAGTATAGCCTTTAGCCACAAGACGCGCCTTATACCTCTCCACATTACCGTTTGCATCCCGCTTGGTTTTAAAAATCCATTTACAACCAATTGGTTTTGCACCTTCTGGCAATGGGACAAGTTCCCAAACCTTATTGTCTTGCATAGACTTATACTCTTCATTCATGGCATCAATCCACTGTTGAGAGTTAGAACTTTTCATGGCCTGAGAGAAGTTGATTGGATCATCTTCTAACATTCCACTACTTTCCTCATGTTCTTGGAGAAATACAATATAATCATCCGGAATAGCATTTCTCCTTTCTCTCGTGGATCTCCTTAATGGCACTGGTTCTTGAGGTTGTTGAGTTTGTTCTTCTGGAACAGGGAGTTGTTCAACATTATCATCTTGAGGTTCCGGATTTACTTCTTGAGCAACAACAGGTATAGGAACCTGAATATTGTCAAAAGTA